ATAACATGACTCACACATGCTATTATATCAGTACCAGTAATAAATGTCAGCTTTAGATATGAATATTATTTTCGTTTAATTTCTAAACATTCGAATATATGGACGCCCCCTCCCCTCTCCACTTGCGGTATTATTTATCGTTGATAAGATTTTACTGGTTGAGTACAATTGAGCGACGAATATACCTGGATAGAATCCTAATGCACAACCGTTTGCTTCTATGTATCCGTCGGGGGGGGGGGGTGTTAACGCGTTACATTATACGTTCTGACATTGAGTCAAGTGTACGTGACAAGGAGTAGAGTGACCTGTCCAATCTCGTGGGTTTCCTTCAACTGCTAAAGACCCCCACGCGCAAGCGAATTAATGAATTTAAATTGAAACCAAATATTAGTCCCGAAATGACCTAGTTTGTGTCGAGTGGACGTTAAACCCCGATAGCTGATCAGTTTTGTTTTGGTTTTGATGCATATTCATAATTTTTAGACGGCATGATCGGGACGTAAACATATATAGAAACGGTCAGGCCACATCAATATATTTCATAATTTTTAGACGGCATGATCGGGACGTAAACATATATAGAAACGGTCAGGCCACATCAATATATTTTATGAGATTATTGTGACATATTGGGTCCTCTGTGGTTATTAAGATTACAATTAACAGGAAATGTCATTGATTTAACATTGAAATCATTGGGGAGATAACTACTAGTCAGAGATATTATGGATACAGACTACTAATTACCCCTTCAGCCCCTCATGAAAATAGTTCCATATTTACAGTCTCACTCTCTCGCCCTTTTCTGGCTTTTCACATGTCTATTGTTGCTAGGTTGTGGTGAATATGCATGGTTAAGAGGCAGAACGTGGGGATAACAATACAATGTAGAGAATGTTATTTAAAATTTGTGTATCTCAAATTTTATACAAGCTTTGGAGCAATGGCTTTCCAGATGTTGCTCTGCTTGTCGTCGACCGCGTTGAGCCCAACTAAAATTTTGAAGTTATGGATTCAGACTAGTAGTTATTTCTCCTTTTTTCATGATGTAGTGCGAGTTAAAAATAGACAATTTTTCCCTTAATTTTTTTCTCACCTCTTCCTGCAGTTTTTGGTCTAGAATTGGAGAAAAGGGATCAATTTTGCAATTTCATAGCAGTTTTGGGTAATACTGATGATATTACATCGGAGGGATAGGGGGTGTAAAGTGTCTTTCTGCAGAGCAATCATTGTGTCGGAAGTGAGATTTTCACCCCAGTCAACATCAAATCCCCGTAGCAAAAATATAAACGGTCAACCCCTTACAAAATTTTGATGAGGAGATTTCCAAATGTTGTCCCCATTGTGCCTATAAAGTTTGGAACGGACGGAATGTTGAACAAAAAGCTACAGCCTGTGATGTTACAGTCATTTAACATTGAAGTCAATGGGCAAATAATTGCTAGTCTGAGCCCTGATAAAGGAACAGGAGTTATCTCCCGGTAATACCATATGCTCATACAAGTTGTTAATCGTAACAACATAAGGGTTAACGTTATGTTAGGGTAACCCTAAAAATAAGTATATCGTGGTTGGGCCCAGATGTAATTAAAAGTCGATGGAATCTGGAACTAAGATTGGAATTGATTTAACTTTCACCTTTGTCCATAAAACAGACTTAAATAAACGAAATGGGGATTCAACGTCCTAGTGTCCTGAACCGACTGGGATAGTGAAGACAGCCATGTGTCATACACTGTGCTATGAGACAAATTCCAACCGTCAAGGCTGCTTTCCCAACGACCATAGTTACGTCGTCCCTTGCCAACCCCTCCCACCTTACCAATGCATGTCGAATTTCGATTAATAAACGCCAGTATCATTGCTTTTGCAGAAACTATCTTTTATGATCTTGGTTCGAGATTTAGGCAAAAGGCGATTTTCTTTTTGCATTTAATTTCTTTGTGAATTGCACTTTTGGGTGGACACTTTTAATCATGTCACTAGAAATTAAAAGTTTCTCGTGGTTGGGTTACTATATCACAAATCCATCATCCAGCAATCTTGTCCTGTTGTCCAGTTATCTTTCGAATTTTCGCAGTAACAAAAGAACGTCAATGTTGATTTAATTGACCAATGCCGAAGACTGTGGATGAAATTGAGTTCAAAACTTGGCAAATTTAAATATGTCATTAAGTTGAATCCAAGGAAGCATGACCTATTACGATAACCAATCGTCATTGATACATCTTTAACTGTTTACACAAACGAGAATCGGGTGGAAATGAAATGAAATGAAATGGGGTTTAACGTCTTACTGTTCTGTTCCGAACTGGGCTAATGAAGACGGGCATACGCCATACAGTGTGCTATGAGGGAAATTTTGCCCGGACAGTTGTACTACGGCCTACTCTTATATCGAATTCCAACTGTCAAGGGATCTTTTACGTGCACGCCAATGTGTACACGGGACCTCGGTTTTTCGTCCCATCCGAACGACTAGACAGCTGTCCTTGTCAGGCCCTCCGTCCTGCAACACTGACAATGGGCTTCCACCCTCCAAAATCTGGATGAACTTTCTCGGCCAATGCAGGGATCGAACACCCGACCTTCAGGCTGGCGAGCCAGCGTCTTACCCACTAAGCCACCGTGGCCCCAGAAAGCAAAATAGCTAAAATAGTTGATCCCAAACTATCAAATACGGGTGTTAGGATACATTTTATTTGTGCGTAAAACAATTAATCCACTATATGATCGTGGATATTAACAATTAACTAAATGTATAATTAATTAAAACATATACTCATGTAGTGTTAAAATATTCTGGGCTCAATGCCAGAGACCGAGAACAATTTGTTTCTGAAATATAAAATACTACGAGAATAGTAAAACATAATCTCGATAACATAGTTTATTACTACTTAGTTAGACTAAAATAACATAAAACAATATTTTAAAAATACATTATGCAAGATTTGGATAAAGACCTAGCACCTAGCTAGCCATTCTTGCGATAATAGTTCGAAAATAGATAATGTAAAATGAATAATTTGAAAACTTCATTCCAATTACTCTATTGCGAGTGAAGATTTTAGCCTTTGAAGATTTGACAAGACGTACGTGCAATAATTGCAACCACCGTACTTGTTGTTCGAAGCTAAGTCTCGCTCCTCCATTTTTAAATTAAATCAAAATATGGCTGAACCGTTCTAATCTATTTAATATCAGAGAAATCCGATGCAATCGAGAATTGATTATGGCTTGGGTAAGTCTAATTAATAATTTAGAAAACATTTCAGGCCTAAAGAAAGACCTGCAGTAGGCAGATATAGCTCTTGCATAATGTATGTTTAATTAAGGCTGATTTATTATTGTTGCTAGTATATACAGCAGAATCTAGAATCTGAGATACAGTATTATTGTATACGTATTATTGTATAATAATATCTGTATTATTATAAAATCATTTATATAGAGCACGCTTTCAAAGAAAATGTGTTCAGATAAAATTTATATATGAATTGAAACCTCTATAAAATAAGAACATACATTTAAGATTAAAAACATACATTTAAGAATAAAAACATACATTTAAGAATATAAAAAAATTAAGAATAAAAACATACATTTAAGAATAAAAAAAACATGCATTGAAGAATAAAAACAAACATTTAAGAATAAAAACATACATTTAAGAATAAAAACATATATTTAAGAATAAAAACATATATTTAAGAATAAAAAAATTTAAGAATAAAAACATTTAAGAATAAAACATATATTTAAGAATAAAAACATACATTTAAGAATAGAAACTTTAGAATAAAAACATATATTTAAGAAGAAAAACATTTATTTAAGAATAAAAACACATACATTTAAGAATAAAAACACACATTTAAGAATAAAAACATTTAAGAATAAAAACATATATTTAAGAATAAAAGCATTTAAGAATAAAAACATACATTTAAGAATAAAAACATCCAAAAACATTTAAGAATAAAAACATCCAAAAACATTTAAGAATAAAAACTTAAGAATAGAAACATATATTTAAGAATAAAAACATACAATTAAGAATAAAAACACATACATTTAAGAATAAAAACACACATTTAAGAATAAAAACACATTTAAGAATATAATCATTTAAGAATAAAAACATACATTTAAGAATAAAAACATCCAAACATCCAAAAACATTTAGGAATAAAATCATTTATTTAAGAATAAAAATATTTATTTAAGAATAAAAATATTTATTTAAGAATAAAAACATTTATTTAAAAATAAAAACATTTATTTAAGAATAAAAACATTTATTTAAGAATAAAAACATTTATTCAAGAATAAAAATAAACATTTAAGAATAAAAATAAACATTTAAGAATAAAAATAAACATTTAAGAATAAAAACATTTATTTAAGAATAAAAACATTTATTTAAGAATAAAAGCATTTATTTAAGAATAAAAGCATTTATTTAAGAATAAAAACATTTATTTAAGAATAAAAACATAAGAATAAAAACATTTATTTAAGAATAAAAACATTTATTTAAGAATAAAAACAAACATTTAAGAATAAAAACAAACATTTAAGAATAAAAAGAAACATTTGAGAATAAAAACAAACATTTAAGAATAAAAACAAACATTTAAGAATAAGAACATTTATTTAAGAATAAAAACATTTATTTAAGAATAAAAACAACCCATTTATTTAAGAATAAAAACATTTATTTAAGCATAAAAACATTTATTTAAGAATAAAAACATTTATTTAAGAATAAAAACATTTATTTAAGAATAAAAACATTTATTTAAGAATAAAAACATACATTTAAGAATAAAAACATACATTTAAGAATAAAAACATACATTTAAGAATACATACATTTAAGAATACATACATTTAAGAATACATACATTTAAGAATACATACATTTAAGAATACATACATTTAAGAATACATACATTTAAGAATAAAAACATACATTTAAGAAAAAACCTTAAGAATAAAAAATTATATCTAAGAATAAAAAACATACATCTATAATAAAACAAATTGTATAAATATATGGCATAATATAATGTCAACTCGGCACAAATTAGGTCATTTCCGGACTAACATATAGTTCAATTTTATTTCAATAATTCGCTTTCGCGTAGGGGTCCCTAGCTGTTGGAGGAAAGGGGGCTACCCTGATAAAACCCAGAGTTTTAAAAGTTTGGTCAATTTTTGTTACTGTTGTATACCAGTCACCTCGACTTTTGTTACTGTTGTATACCAGTCACCTCGAATTCTGTTACTGTTGTATACCAGTCACCTCGACTTCACACATATTTAGATACTCGGTTGGTTTGGTTATCTTGATGAACCTGCCCACTGTTTTCTCATCACATTTGAATGTTCTGACTGTACCTCCGAAAACTCCAGGTATAAATACACAGAGTTTGGAAGTTGTAGTACTGAGAGTAGGATATGAATTATAAACAATTACACTCACATTAGATAACCATGTTCCATAATCTGAAAGAAACGTCGAAATAGCTACAGATTAAGGCCTTTAATATTGCCCTGAAAGCGTTGATTCTGTCTATCATTCATTCATTGAATTCCAACTACCAAGACAGTGTTCTTTTACGTACACTACCAATTTATCAACGGGACCGAGGGTAGGTATGAGGGGACTGTCTAACACTGATGCATGTTACTCTGACAGGGATTCTTCAGAAGTACACTGCTAAAATGAAATGAAATAGGTTTAACGGCATACTGTTCTGCTTTGAACTGTGCTAATGAAAAAGGGCATACGCCATACAATGTGCTATGCGGGAAATTTTTCCCGGACAGCGGCGTACGGCCTACTCTTATATCGAATTCCAACTGTCAAGGGATCTTTTACGTGCACGCCAGTGTGTACACGGGACCTCGGTTTTTCGTCCCATCCGAACGACTAGACAGCTGTCCTTGTCAGGCCCTCCGTCCTGCAACACTGACAAGGGGGATCCACGCCGGAAAATTTGGATGAACTTTCTCGGCCAATGTATTTCGTCCCATACGGCCTACTCTTATATCGAATTCCAACTGCCAAGTGATCTTTAACGGGCATGCCAATGTATACGCAAGGGACCTCGGTATTTCGTCCCATACGAACGACTAGACAGCTGCCCTTGTCAGGCCCTCCGTCCTGCTCCACCGACAAGAGGAAACCACGTCGGAAAAAATCCCGATGAACTTTCTCGGCCAATGCAGGGATCGAACACCCGACCTCCAGGCTAGCGAACCAGCGTCTTACCCACTTAGCACCGTGGGCCGACACTACTAATATACAAACATTTTCAAGCCCCCCCCCCACCTCAACCCCCTAAACACCCACCTGAAATATACATTGCCCCACCCCACCTCCCATCGCAAATCCGCATGTGGTATTGTTTTATCTTAGTTCAGTGTTTTACCCAAATAATTCTGCGAATATTGATAGATTGTTAGTTGATTTGGGGGTTAGTTAAAGGGACTGAAATGTTATTTAAATTATTAATTAGGCATTAATTAACTTATCCAGACCATTCTCTCAAAACTGTCATCGATGGCCTGAGGACTTTAATAAGTTTTGTCATGACTGATTTAACGTGCCGACTTTAGTAATGATGACCGAGGCCTTGCCTAAAATTCCATCGCTAATATCTCGGTTCAGAGTGAAGCAATTTGCCTGACATTTTCAGCATATTCTATTTACTTTATCTATTTTTAACTGTTATAGCGGGAACAGCGAGCTCTTGATCTAATCCCGCATAATGCCCCTTTAAGTTGATAAATACATTTTTATTTTCTAGTTTTCAGTATGAGCCCATATCCTTTCATTGACTTACAACTTTTATCGTCATATCTATTAGATATAGTTATACTTGTGATGTCATACGTCGATGCTAGATCAACTTGCCACCAAGGATTATAATCATCGGCAGCAGTAGCCTGACAACTAGCCACAGACATCATGCCATTCCTGTTTCCGTCAACGGCCTTACTAGACGAATAAACTGCATGAAGAAATGAGGTCTGTTCGGTTGGTTTTCCTAAAGCAATATTATCACCTCCTGAAAAATAATTATTTGAAATGATTAAGTTTACTGTATTGAGATTTAAGTAGACTACAGCTAGATTTAGTGGGTTTTTTTAAAGGACAGGTCAAAGGAGGCTGACTTCAAACACTAGCAGCTTATCATTATAAATAATGTAGAATTGTTAGAAAATGTATCTGAAGCTGTGCTTTTAGGACGAACTGTTGATCAACATATAGATTGGAATCTCCAAATTAACAAAACTGCCAAAATTATATCCCCCAAAACCATCTTAGAATATTATTTTTCAACGACTATATCTACCATATTATGGTAATGTGAGAAGAGGAACATTGTGGATGCAAAACGCGATTCCCATTCGACACCTTTATTTGGATCTCTAATTGACTTATAATCTACCAAGGCAAACAATACAATCAGGGAAGGCTCACTTTCAAAATTCTAACAGACAAATTACCATCATATTTATATAACATAATCTGGGAAAAGTCTAAATTGACCACAAATACCATGACATTGAGGTAGGAAAGTCAACTTAAATTAGCAATTCCAAAAAAGTAAGAAAAATACAATGCCAAGAACATTTCTATATGCCGTTTCTTTATTTTGGCATTCACTACCACAAACTGTGTAGCATGCGTCCACATGTTTTATCTTCAAAAAGGAGTTAGTAAAACATGTGGAATCTGTTTAGCCTTGTTGATTATTACTGTTGTCCTTTGAATGTGTGTTTATTTGCCATTTTTCCCCTAGATAAACTTATATATATTCACTTTGTGAATATGTGTAAATATTGTAGTGACTAGTTTTATAGAATAGGAGGAACGTGTTGAAAATTAGATCCTATGTACTAAAAATGTTCACTCAGAAAATATATTCAATATAATTATTGTACCAAAACCACGTAATGACCTTTAGCATCCAGACCATTATATTAATAGGTTCCACTTTCAGATACAATCTCGATCTCAATTCATTTACCTGTGGTAAAACTCGCCGGCCATACGTTGACCATTTTGAATGTCACGTGATGTATATTATGTATGTTTCAATATATTGCGCAATGTCTTTAGCTCGAGACCATTAAACAACTTAAAATACAGACACTATCTCGCACGTGCTTTTCAATGAATTACGCGAGTACAATATTTCATGTAGTATAAATAATGTACGATTGGCAAGTTGTCCATACATTATTGCCAATAATGGCACGCAGACATCAAAGGATGACGTCACATCTGTATTTTAATTCCAATTAAAATGATGACGTTTAAAAGAGTAAGTAAAATGTATATATATGGTCGTCTTACCTGGTAATTTATTACATTCATATCTTTGATTACAGGTGTCACTCGTTCCATTCACTAAAACAAAGTTTATAAGTGGGCAATCAATATAAAGGACTTTGTTGAAGAACTAATGATATACAAGATTCAACCAATAACAGATCGGAGAGCCTAATCAATAGTTCATCGATACTGATCAGTGGGTCGTTACTTAAATACATAAAACAACTTCCCATACGCTTGTCTCTAATACCACGGCAGTTATCACGGTAGTTGTAATTCGGTAAAAGACTATAGCACACTGTATGACGTATGTCCGTTTTCATTAGTCCAGTCAGAGCAGACCAGTAGGGCATACCAAAACATACATACGAGAAACAATCTTACATTCTAATTCTTGTAAAGTTCCGTCGTATCGGTATGGTAGTCTTTTTCGATCCGGACAGAGGGCCTGGCAAGAACAGCTGTCTAGTGCACACATTGGCGTGCACGTAAAAGATCCCTTAACAGTTGGAATTCGATATAAGAGTAGGCCGTAGTGCCGCTGTCCTGGCAAACTTTCCCTCGTGGCACAATGTATGGCGTATGCTCGTCTTTATTAGTCCAGTTCGGAGCAGAACAGTAGGACGTTAAACCCCATTTCATTTCATTTCTTTTCTTTTCGATCCCACATATAAATATATATAATATGGAATACTTACCAAGGGTGCCATAAATTTCCACTTCACACAGAGTTAAGAAATTGGACTTTTCTATGGAAATCTTCACAAATCTACCTTGGACGCCCTTATTACACCTGATGATGTTTTTACCTGTAGTATAATCAACCACTGAAGCACAACAATTAGCTTCTGAAAAGTTGCCTATTGTTGGATCAGCATCATAGACTTCATAATTAACATCATGCAGGCGTTCAGCTGGAAAAGACAGACATGTTGTTAAATGGTCAACCATTAAAGTGAAGATGCGTCATTTGCATTTTGTGCTAAAATTTCAAATTTCTCATGGCTCATAAATACCCAGATTGACAATTTAACATTTAATTAGGAAAGCAATATCAAAATATCAACGCTAGAAATGCTAGTTTATTGCTAGAAATATAATGCAGTTTAAAAATCCGCCATTGAAGTAACGATTTGAATCAATCTGGTTAAAACACAGATCCTATTTTATAGTTCAAAATTTCGTTTTACTTGTCTTTACTACACTTGGATCTGGAAGACTTGTTATTTAACTAGTGTTCTGCTTGAAATAAGGGGTCAGCCAATCAAATGGTCTGTCGAATCGATTGTTTGACCTTTTTTGCCCGGAACTGTGGGTAATCCACTAGTAACATCAATGCTGATAGGTTAATCAAATGTCTGACAAGGGGAACCCACGCCGGAAAATCTGGATGAACCTTCTCGGCCTATGCAGGGATCGAACACCCGACCTCCAGGCTAGCGAGCCAGCGTCTTACCCACTTAGCCACCGTGATCCTCTATTTAGAATAGGACTATCAATTCTGTTCGCCTATAACAAAATGGCGACAGGCTTATTACATAACGAGCTGCATAGATTGATGAAATTTCAATTTAACACACCTTTGCAAATACGGAACGGAATTGAATTATTTTCTTATAAGAGATTCATCTGTCACAATATTTAACTTGGCAAGCGGTTTTCTTTTTGTGCTAACATGAAGCAATGAGACTTTCAGTATGTTTGTAATAATTCTAGTTACACCAGGGGTGTAATGTATTAACTCACAATTTATTGACAATCGGAATACTCGCCTGTCTCATCTTGCATGTGTTTTCAGGGTCGTCTTATTTCTTCCCTTGTCTGATACATAATTATCCCAAAGAAAACGGGAGTCGCAGAGGTTGTAGGTGAGGTTATTGTGTTTCCCGAGAAAATTCCTCTTTAGTTTCGATTTATTTGAACATACTGCACTCTTATTTAAAAGATTAAGTATATTTCTACTAACTCTAGCTACATGACGACTATAATGTATTTAAATATATACTATATTGCAACCATCTTTATTAGCCTTAGATTTGCACAGCTATAAACGCAGAAATGTTAAATCTATTTGCATAAAACCAGACGCACCGAAATGTCGGTTATAATTATGTCACATATAATGCAGGAATCTTATGGGACGGCATACTATATGTTGTTAAAATTTCAAATTCATTCGAATCGAATTGTTTAAACAAAATGCGACAATAAGTTGATTTAAATGATATACTGCAGTGTACAGTTAGCGCCTTGAGATTGCATTGGTGGGTGTAACTGGCGCGATATATACTTACTTACAGTATGACACATATACGCTTACGATAAACCAGTATGACACATTTAAGAAGAACTTTGTATCACATATACTCAAGATAAAGCAGAATGATACATTTATGCTCACGATAAACCAGTATGCCGCATATTATATACTTACAATAAACCTGTAGGACACATATATATGAACAATAAACCAATATGTCACATACTTCGTTATAACAAATACATACGGCGCGGCAACCCAGAATGACATATAATTATATACTTACGATACACTAATATGACACATATACACTTCGATAAATGCGTACGATAAGCCTACATATATAGGACACATATATACTAGTTACTTTAGTAAGGTATAGTATCGGCTCTGCTCTCCACTACGTTACTGCCGCCTGCTCTATACAACTGATATGAAAATAAGGCTTTCCCCCATCCCGGTTCTAGGGATATTTTGGATTCCTTACCGTTTACGGTAAAATTTTATTCCTAAATTTGGAATATTGGTTGAGCGTGAGTTTGATAATGGCGACCAATTCAAATGAAAGTTGCTTTTGTTTTTGTATCGCATAATTCTACATGAAAATACATGTAGTGTTGTATTTTTATAACTTTGTGTCGGATGTGACAAAAAATGATTCCTTTTGGCGATCAAAGAAGAATCACGGTGCAAAATAGACGGTAAGGATTCCAAAATAACCTTAGAACCGAGATGGGGGAAAAGCCTTATTTTCATATTAGTTGTACAGATCACGCGGCAGTAACGTAGTAGAGAGTAGAGTTGATACCTTAAAAAGTAATTACATATATACATACAATAAAACAGTATGATAGATATATACTTACGGTAAACCAGTATGACACACATATATTTGGGATGTGACACATAAATGCGTACGATAAGTATAACACGCAGTACTTACGGTATTCAGCCTCGTTGTAAACCACTATAAAACGAATTAGAAATGTGTCCATCAAATCCAGGAGGAACCAAGGTTGATAATCATATTGGTCTGTTTGAAAACAGGTATTATTGTCGTTATCTAAAGCTGCTCTGGGTGGTTGTATTACACCAACAGAGCTTGTTGATGGGGAGTTTAGACTAGCCACATTACTCCCATCTGTAAATAAAAGAAAACCAAGTACGAATAATCCGAACCATTACACAAAATTCGAAGCCCTAAAACAACGATATAGGCAACATAAAGTAATCAGCAAATGGACTGTTCACGGTATACAAAATATAAGAAATGATGATGAATCTCAATAGGTTGGCTATTGGTCGGTGTCTATGACATCCTATGAACATTTTATTAAACCAAATTAAATCATGGTTATAAGTTATGTCGTTACTGGTGAGTTAAAATAGCTCATTTCCCTTTATTCCACAGTTCATTTACAGAGAACAGTAAATCATCAGCCTGTCATGGCAATGAATCAGTTATGTGACCAGAATACATTTAGCAATACAACCATAGTATCTACAGAGAACAGTCTGTCATGGAAATCAACCAACTATGAAGTCAGGATAAGAAGCTTATATTCTTATATTATAACATAACTTTAGTTCTTTTCGAAAGGGGAATAACTACAAAATATAAACTTATGTGTATTTAACTACAAAATATAATCTATAACATAACTTATATTCCATTCTAAAGGGGTGTAACTACAAAATATAATTTATAAAATAACTTATATTCTATATTCTAAAGGGGTATAACTACAAAATATAAACTATAACATAATTTATATTCTATATTCTAAAGAGGTATAACTACAAAATATAATCTATAACATAATTTATATTCTAATAATCTATTCTAAAGGGGGTATAACTACAAAATATAATCTATAACATACCATATATTCCTTTCTAAAGGGGTATAACTACAAACTATAATCTATAACATAACTTATATTCCATTCTAAACGGGTATGACTACAAAATATAATCTATAACATAACTTATATTCTATATTCTAAAGGAGTATAACTACAAAATATAATCTATAACATAACTTATATTCTATATTCTAAAGGGGTACAACTACAAAATATAACATACAAGATTTGAATTCGATAACCAACCTTAGATCTACAGAAGAAAGTTTCGAAAAAGGAACATACCACTCATAAATAGCCATAGATCTAAACAAAAAAGTTGAAAAAGAGTGGATGGAAATTGTAGAATTTAAAACAGTAATACTAAAACTGTAGTCCATCAATAAATAGCAATATCAGATGTCAAATCTGATTTTAGATTCATTTTTCATTTACCCTCTGCACATTTTATTTCTAGTCAAATAATCAACAAGGACAGTATAACAACTTGCGAGTAATCAACAAGAACAGTATAAAAACTTGTGAGTAATCAACAAGGATAGTATAACAACTTGCGAGTAATCTACATGAATAGTATAACAACTTATCAAAAATACCAAAGAACAGTATAAAATCTTGCGAGTAATCAAGAAGAACAGAATTAAAACTTACCCGTAATCATCACGAAAACCGCCATACCAGGGTCCGGATCTGTAGTCAGTTCTTTCGCATTCCTCGTATAAAGATGGCATTCTTTTCTTTGTTTGTGAAAAGCAACCGCTACACACTGGGGTTCATTTGTACAGGCAAGCATGCACGCAATTTTCGAATTTGTCGACACCATTTTGTTTGCTGTGTTTGGTAGCACGTCATCTAAAACATGCGTATACCCCATCCAATAAACGGGACAACTACAACTAAATTTGTTCATCAGGTATAGAATGAGAAAAACTGTCAGAAGATCTTGAAATTGTGAAAACATGGTGTAAACGTTGAATCGGTTCAAATACAAAATACTAACATTAGTGTATAAATGTCATAATAACGCAGCTCCTCAATATTTATCTGAACTCTTATATGACTACAGATCACTTCACTCTCAAAATAAACAGTTACTATTTGTTCCAAGATATAACTTAAAGTCATATGGGTATAGGTCTTTCAGTTCAGCTAGTCCTAGATGATGGAACGAAGTTCCGCAACAGATCAAGAATCAACAGACTTTTAATCAATTTAAATCCGCACTAAAGACTTTCCTGTTTCGACAGTTTGTTTTACCAGTAGAGCCATTACTAAAAGCGTTTTGAGCATGTGTCAACATGGGGAGACTCTGTATAAAACCTCGTTATTATTATTTATTTAGATCCTAACCAAACTACATCAATGAATTATGTGGACTGTCAAACATATAATGTCTATTCAGGAATATCAGAGGCCTGTGCATATAATGTCTATTCGGGAATATCAGAGGCTTTTGTCCCCCATACAGTTTTTTTTATTGATCTTGATGAACATCACTGAAGAGCACGCGGCTGTATGACCGTAAGTGATATGTACCTACGCCTATACAATTGCGATGCGGCACCGGTTTACTTATTAGGATAAGTTGCCGCTTTTAAAATTAAGTTATCAAAATTGCGTCGTTCGAAGTTTTTAGTGCAAAGTTGTCCGTGTTTGAAGAAACTCGTATAAACCTCAAAGAAAAACAGCTTCAGACTTTGAAATATTTATATTATAAAACATTCGTCAAAGGTGTCTAGACGTAGGGTACTGGAATCTGCTGAGGTTTGTCGGGTGCACTAAGGAGTCCACACAATGTTGCTCTTCTTGTTAACCAATATCCTTGGAATGCCAACCTTTAAACATCCGTAATGCACAGTCATTTGAATCTTTTAAATCCCCTACTAAAAACTCATCCTTTTAGCATAGCATATTTAGTTTTAATTATTATATTTGCGTCATTTGAGCAATTTTAAACTCCTGTTTCGTTCTTAGACGTTATATCGAGTTATGTTTTTTTAATTGTGGATCTACTTTTTAACGTAAATGTTCTCAATATACTTATATTTTTGTTTTCACGATGCTCTGTGGTATTCTATTGTTTTTCACATCATGTTGTACCGCCTATTGAGATCTATGTTGATGTAATTGGGGTTAAATAATAAATATTATTATTATTATTCTGATATCACAGTCCAATATCATAGACAGCTGCCCATGCTGCGGTTTGTTTGATTGGTTAATGTATGATGATTTCCTTCATAATCGAGATATTCGATATTAGAAGAACCGTTGCACATCCCTGCTAATCTGTAAATAAAACAAATAGGAAATAACTGAAAACTGTTTTCAATTTAAATTATGTGAGATGGTGTGTATTAAATATCAAAAATATGTTTTATTATCCTTTGAAATATACATACTAAATCCTTTTCACAAATGGTGTACAACCAAGTCATTAAATAATTCATACGCCACACTTAAAACCAAGCTTACCGATTAAAAACATAGCATAGAAAAAATGACCAGGGTCCGTATTCAAAGGTTTTCCTAAAGTTAAGATACTTCATTTTTCCACTTAACCAAGTGTCTTACCTTAAATCGGCATTCAAAGGCTTTATTTTACATATACTTGGCTATATGAATAACTTCACACTTAAAATATGGAATACCCACATTAGCCCAAAAGCATGAATTATTAATTATTCAATACCTTTCACTGCCAAAAACCACAAATTACTCACGCTGCACGCATGTTACGTCCCCTTTAGAGCTCCATTCTACTCTAGTTATGATTACATGTACTAGGAAATGTTTGTCGAAATACCATATTGTAACGCTTGAAAATAGATGATTATAATTTATGATGAATTTGATAGTACGCACCCGTTGCCGGATCAGTTGTTTTAGTAGATGTTTTTAAAAAATTCCGTTTCCATAAATTTCAATTGAAGTTTTCGAAAAGTGGTGGTATAATGATGAATATTGTAAACTTTATTATTTTAACAACGTATAGCGATAGAAAACAACATATTAGCTATATGGCAGGACCTTTGGCTTTTTAGTTGGATTGTACAAATCATTAAGTGTTGTTTATCAATCTATCATTTGACAAATTCATAGAAATTGTGTTAGTGCCTACATTTTAGAATCCGAAAGGCCTGGCGTTGAAGGTACATTGGGCGTATTTCTACCCGAATAAATATTACCGATTAAACGCAAAAAGTCAAATTTGTTTCAAATAGATATCTTGAACGGTTTATGAGATATGCTCCGGAAACAAAATTGTACACTAAAAACTATGTCAATTTTGTTGGAAACACAAAAAATATAAATCCCAGAAATTACTAAATAGCAAAAGGTACAACTACTGCAATAGGTTGACGTGTGTATAAGTTTCAAAAAGATATCTTGGACGGTTTATGAGATATGCTCCGGAAATGGAACCCGGACGGGCGGACGGACGGACGGAGACCATTTCAACATCCCTCCCTAACTTTGTCCGGCGCGGAATAATAAAACAAATAGCTAAAGGTGTTGTCGAAACGAACACTCTAAGTATTACTGAATCCAGGATCTCACCATATTCATCTTGATCTTGTTAGGTCATATCAAATTTTCTAAGGAATACGCGTGCCAAGTTTTATGTAGATTGTGTATGAATTAGCGAAGCCATAGACCTCTTTTCGAACTTCTGGCTTGGAACTCTATAACGCCTAATCAATTTCATAGCAAACATATTATCGACGTCAGAATGTGTTGTCCTAACATTATCACTTACTATTCATACCATAAAACACAGCATTACGTAAAAGAATACACCACTCACTAGTAATGTCATAGAATTATTGGATAGAACTATACACAATAACACATACTTTTGGAAAAAGAAATATTAATTGATTGACCGCCACGAACCGTATTCTCTATTGTTTTCCGGCAAGAAAACAATAACAAATATTTAGTGAAGCAACAAAGTATTGGCGAGCGTGTGACATAAAATGACATGAAATGGAGTTTAAAGTTACAATTTCATATTTTCTAAGAAAGTCAAAACATAATTATTTCTATGTCTTTTCCTCAATCGGTTGTCAACTCATTCTCACACTTAAAACTCATTTACACCGGAAATAATAACACAATCACCTCCCTTGTTTTCTATTTTCCACCATGGAGTAGTTATCTTCAAACGTTGGAATTTGAAGATAAAAATTATATTTTTGCCAATTACTCAACTGGCAATAGTGAATTATAGGATTAATAGGATTATTCTTTAACAAGGTAGGACTGTTTATAGATACCATCTATTTTAAGGCTTTATTTTAATAAATTTTAAAAGTATAACTTAAAAATATGAAATTGCACCTTTAACGTCCTACTGTTCTGCTCTGACCTGGGCTAATGAAGACGGACATACGCCATACAGTGTGCTATGAGGGACATTTTGCCCGGCAACGGCACTACGGCCTATTCTTATTAAAGTCCAACTGTCAAGGGGTCTTTTACGGGCATGGCAATGTGTACACGGGACCTCGTTTTTTTGTCACATCCGAACGACTAGACAGCTGTCCTTGTCAGGCCCTCCGTCCTGCATCACTGACAAGGAGGAACCGCGCCGGAAAATCTGGATGAACTTTCTCGGCCAATGCAGGGATCGAACACCCGACCTCCTGGCTAGCGAGCCAGCTTCTTACCTACTTAGCCACCGTGACCCCCTGGCTAGCGAGTGTGTATGAGATGAATAATAAAGTAAATAATGATAATTATTTATCAGTTGTAACAAATCAATAGTTCAAAAACTAATCCCGGACAATTTTTTTTTAAATATTCGAAATCAGATTTCCTAAGATACATGTAGATTCTTTCGAAGCGAATCATGAACATCATATCAAAAATTCGAAATCAAATTTCGTAAGATACATGTAGCTTGTTTTAGTGGTTTGAATATAGTCGTCAATCAGTTTCGCATATATTCAAACTGATCCCCCCCCACCCCATTATGCGCTTAGCTACGTCTAATAGCTATTCCAATCAACCGAGGATATAAGAAATCTCTAAAGGAATCAAAAACCTTGTTGAGCTATTAAAGTTTGATGGCATTTTGATAATCAAGTGAAGTCAATATTGACTAAAGATTCCTACTACGTAATTTCGGGATTAACATATCGTTAAATTTTATTTCAATAATTCGCTAGCGAGTAGGTTTCTTTAGCAGTGGGAGGAAACCCACCAGGTTGCACAGGCGACCCTACTTCTTGTTACCCACAGGCGTGGAACCGAAACCTGACCCAACCCAATAACAAATACAACCAAAACAGTAAAAGTTACAATCATTAGTGTGTGGACTATTCAGTGATGTTGACCTAAACCAATAACACCAGCTAATATAGTATATGATATTCCTGAGTAGACTTTATGTACAAATACTTCAAATAGATAATTGGTTAAAATCAGAAACGATTAGTGGTTTATATTTAAAAGTGGATAACTGACATTATCAGAGACTACAATGTCTAATATTGCAATACAGATGTGACGTCATCATTTGATGTTGGCGTACCATTATTTCAAATAATGGCACGGGCAATGTGCTAAGCGTACATTATTTATACTAGTTGCACTATTGGAACCGCGTGACGTATTTCATTGAAATGCACGTGCTGGATAGTGTCTGTATTTTAAGTTGTTTTATGATTTCGTGCAAGACATTGCGTAATATATAGGTATTGCCCTCGTGCTATCGCACTCGTACGATATCAATATATACTATTCAAAAAAAGTAGGGGATATTTGATTATTAAGTGTTATTAAAGTCACCTAATGAAACTGACGAAGAAACAAATGACAAAATGAAATGAAGTTAACATTCATCGATTTATTCCAAATGATCGTTAGACTAAGTAAGGCACAGACTGACCATTATAAGGGTAAAATGATACCCGGGGTCAAACAGCAAAGTTACCACAGCATCACAACCAAGTCAGTAACGGGTAAATCCTCCTCTGTTTGCCAAACAAGCATTGATCCGACGTGGCATACTCCTAATGAGACGTCTAAGGTCATTTTGGTCCAGATTGTCCCATTCCTGTTGCAACGCAGCAGCAAGTTCTTGGACATTGGCAGGACGTTGTTGATGTTGACGTAACCTCTGTCCAAGCATGTCCCAGACATGCTCGATGGGGGAGAGGTCGGGACTCAGTGCTGGCCAAGGTAATGTGGTGATGTTCTGTTGTTGGAGGTAACCTGTAACGATCCTGGCCCTGTGACATCTTGCGTTGTCATCCTGGAAGATGAAACGGCGGCCATGACGTCGTGCGAACGGCACAACATGGACTGCCAAGATGTTGTCCCGGTAGTACTGGCCTGTAACACGCCCTGCAACAACATGTAAAGCCGTTCTTCCAGCAACAGTGATGCCTCCCCACACCATAACAGAACCACCCCCAAATCGATCATGTCTGATGACGTTAACGTCTTGGAAGCGCTCGTTTCGACGACGCCACACCCTCCTACGTCTGTCCAAAAAATCAACAGTGAACCTTGACTCATCTGAAAACATCACATTGCTCCAGCGTCGATTATCCCAGTGTTGACGATCCCTACACCAACGACGTCTTGCCTGAATGTGATGATCTCTCAAACAAGGGATCACGCGAGGACGTCGGGCGCGAAGGTGACCCCTATGCAGTCGATTCCGAATCGTCTGGCCACTCACTCTCACACCAGTGTCTGTTTGAAGACGAGCGCTGATCTGATTTGCTGTGATGACACGATTTCTCAAGGCCAAGGTACGGATAAATCGATCCTGGGCTTGAGTTGTCGCCCTTGGTCGACCTGAGCGTGGTCTGTCCTGTACAGATTGTGTATCACGGTATCTGGACCATAGCCTGCTTATGACAGACTGAGAAACATTCATCGTCCGCGCCACAACCGCCTGTGTTGTGCCGATCTGTAGCATGCCAAGGGCACGTAACCTTTCATTTTGGGTAAGCCGACGCATATCAAAATTTGTTTTCTGGTCACTAAAACAATTAAACTGATGTTTCCACCCTGGAATTCAATGCCACAATGACTGTAACATTCAAAGTCAGAGTCGTGCAAATCTTGGGTTGGACCCCCATGATGATCCCAAGCATCACCTGCATTCCATGTGGTAGCTATTGGTGCGTTTGGGCGTCACATGTAACTGGAAATGTTTCTTCTGTTAGGTTCTATAGTGACTTTTTTCGTAGTCATTTGCATATTTTAGTATTATGCCCCCAAAATCAAATATCCCCTACTTTTTTTGAATAGTATATTACTTA